GTGTGTCTGTGCAGGAAAACCCTCTCCAAATACTTTGCAAATTCCTTGCAGCTCTAGGCTGGTATACACAGACACGTCCATACCGGCTTATTGCTTTGGTGCTTGCTGGAGCCTGGAAAAGCTCCGGTCTGGGGGTCACTATGGGACATCATGGCAGGGATGATGCCAAAGGAGGGTACTTTTACAAAAATTTTTGCAGACAAAGAATAACTTCCACCTACCTAATTTTTCCAGCCAGGTCAGAACTGTATGACTGGTTTCTGGCATATGAGTTAATATGAGGTAATGCCTTTAATGCAGCCTGGAGTAGAGACAGAACAATTTCTCCCCTACTTGCTAAGAAATCCTTAAATGTACCCAAAGGACCCATTAGATGGGGCTGGGCTGCATGCTAGCACAGCTATACGGCTCCTGAAATAGAGCAGGCTTCTATCTGCAGCTCTTGGCATGGGGAAAGTGAGCAGACAGACACCTGTCTGTACCCAAAGAGGTACTCAAGGAGGCACGTGTATCTACCCCATCTTACAGGCACACTGCTTCCACATCTCCTTAAGCAAGATGTGGTTTTCACTCAACTCTAAATAATGTCACTGCTGAGAGAGGAAAAAATAAGAATAGGAATGTACAGCTGTCACTTAAAGTGCCAAGGTCCCAGGAGCCAGAAATTTCTCATACTCAGTGAACCAAATTGACTAAAGTTGCCCCATTTAAGTCAAACTACATCAGTGCCAGGACTACATTCCCTTTAACCCTCGTACTTCATTCTTGTTCCCTCCCTTTCATTGGTAACTTATAGTGATACAGCTTTGGGTACTGAATTATCTCCAAATTAGTCCTACTGAAGTGTCCTGGAGCAGGAGGATGTTTGAAGGTTCCCTTGGCTCACAGGGGCATGAGACAAACTCAGAGTGCGGGGCCTAAGTTTGGCATACCCGGCCAGCTGTTCAAATCCCCACAAAGCTTTAGGACTGACTCCATCACAGCAAAACCAGGGAGGTTGTGGATAACAGATTAAGAGCCAGCTCTAGTCTGGTCTCATGCGAAAAGTCTCTTCCACCAGTTTCTCCATCAGCTGTGTATTTTTCCCTGCAACAAGGGAAGACATTTCCCATGTAGGCAGCTCAGGAAGCCCCTTTCCCACCCCCAGAAACCCAAGTCTGTTGAGATGCAAAAAGGACACTAGGCAGTCCATGATGCTTAGCCAAATTGTTTCATTCCTGTTTCATGGTTTACAGGTACAAATGTCTTGGGCTTTGAAAAACTCTCTCTATGATTAAATAGTCCCATGCACAACTTGTTTGTTCTTCACATAAAATGCACTGCTAAGAAGGGGACACAATTCAAAATAAATTGTAAATGAAAAGGGGAAAAAAGCAAACACACAAACACATGGAACATGGAATTTTATATCCTTTACTAATCTCCCTGACAGAATCAAAGAAATATCACTGTGATCGCTGCAGTAGTCCTAGCATGGCGGCAAACACAGAAGGGTGATTGAAATCCTTGTCCTGAACTCTTTAGAGTGCTCAGGCCTACATTTTAGAAGGGGAAGCATATCAAGGAATGAAAAAGGTGTGAAGTAAATATTGGCAAAATGGTAAAAAATTGGGGAAGTGCAAAAGCTCAAGGCAGAAAAAAGGAATTATGGAAGGATGCTAAAGTGCCAAGATGTAGACATACTCCAGCTCAGAAACAGACATGTCAGAGACAGATTTAACACATGGTTTTATTACAGCTAAATGTTGTGAGAATCAACAAGGCCTTCTAAAACTATTTTGAATTAATGGGTATCACATAAAAAATGGAGGTTTTTCAACGTGAAGTTCACCCACAAGATACCAAATCATTATACTGGGGAAAATTTAGTGAGGGATTTAATCTCTTCTCTTAATACAAATCATTTGGATTTAGTTCATGGGATCCATCACTCTGTGAGTACCTCTGAGATCCCAGTGTTACACAGGAGAGATAACCAGCTCAGGATCTCTAATGAAAGGGGACACTCAGGGTACTCAAGGGTGCTCAAGAGAGAGAAGCCTGTTGCTAGGGTTCAGGAGGGGTTTAATGCTGACCCCAAACACAAAGGTTGGAAACTAAACATTTCACCTGAGAAATGCCAAACCAGAATGTTCTGATACTTTCAGGGGGAGAACTTTTTAGTTTTCCACAAAACCCTTTACTGTCAGGATGAAAGCAAGTACCAAGACATCAGAATTTTTAACACACACTCTCTTTGAGAGTTTTCGCAGAAGAACTGTGGCCAAGTCATGCTTGGTTTCAGGAATGAACCACTTCTCCCCCTTTCCCTCCCTCCTCTTCTCTCAAAACCACAACAACTTTGACTGCCATCAGGACAGGAAGAATTTTATATTAAACAATTGCCCTCAGCCATTCAGCTGAATTAAGTCAGAGGGACTGCTGGCAGGCTTAAAATAGGCACGTGTTTAAGAGCTTTGCTGGCTTTGTTGCCGCAGTGGAAAAAAAGGAAGTTAGAGATGCATCAATCTGGAATTGAAAATATCATCAGTATCTTCAAGACACAAAATATAATTACAATTATTAATTAATTCTGGTCTACGTTGCTTAACTGAGAGCAAAGTGAGAGACAGTAGCTCTTTTCCCTTTCCCATTGCTTTTTATTCATGTGAAAACAGGTTCAGTAATCATAGGAAAGAAAAATACAAGACTGTATGCTGTGTGAAGAGGTGTATCATGGTAAGGGCACTCAAAAATATTTACAGCACAGCATTGAGTGGACTGACACAGCAAGGATGACACAGAACTAAGGCAAGAATTCCTTGATAAGTGTTCTACTTCGTGTTATCACTTCAACAATTTGGAGTACTTTGATTTTGTGACAAGCCTTCCTGCACTGTGTCACTAATAATTTTCCTCCCTTTAGGACTGTGTGTCTAAGCAGCAGGAAGCATTTCTTCCTGCCAGCTTCCATAAGGAAAGGAAGACACCTTCTTCAGCAGTGGAAATCTGCTGTGCCTACTTTTGTAATGCACTCACATACTTCTCATCGGTCTACAATCCATGTTCTAGTTTAAAGGAAGGATGCCCACAATGGCTCTTCCAGGCCTGCTCTTCCTAGCTGGAGTCATCTCTAGGGTAATATGTCATTTGGTTAATGATGGTGTGAGGATGAATCCATTCAGGTGGTCATCAAAAACAGCCCCTCTAAAATTTGTATCAAGAGAGCCTGGAGAATTGCAAAGAGCACTCTATGCAGATATCAGCTGTATTTTCAAATGTAGATGAAGTTTCTGACACTACACACATCTCTGAAAGAGTTTGTACCTACTGCAGAGGAGGAGATCCTACACAAATTCAGGAAGGTGGTGTAACAGAGCAGACAAAGGTAAACTGTCCTTTTAGATAAGCCACATACTTCAGTGGCAACATGCCAGGTTTCTTCTCTTCCCTGATGTTTTTCTTTTCTTTTTCTCACTTACTTTCCCTTCTGATGTTCTCCAAAGCAACCAAGCAGGTTGTGAACACAACCATACATACATCCAGTGTTAGGAGAGTCAACTGAGGCATCAGAAACAGCATAGGCACACGAATACAAAGATAACAGCATGTGTGAAGACCACAGTTAAAAAAGCACAGTGCAACAGAACCTGACTGTTGCTTGACAAGCAAATTCCGGAAAGCAGAATAAAACCCAGCAGAAACCAAGGTATCATTTTTGCACCACAGCCCAGAGAGAACAAAGAACTTTGAAACAGCAAATGCGAAGTCATTTGGAGGAGCCCCACAGTGTTTCACCCTCATGCAAAGAGAAGGTGGCTCTTCCGGGACAAATGCCACAAGAACTACATGTAAAGAGTTCCAGATTATCCTGATGTATTTTAATAAACATTATATGCAAACCCATATTTTGATAGCTCAAAATATCTCTCAGCCTAATTACAGACACGTAAAATAGCAGATGTTACCCACCCTTTTAGAGCTCAAGCCTGTGAGCCACTAGGCAGTTTGAAACATGCTTGAACTCCATGGAGCCTGTTACAGACATGCAAGTGAAGACCTCATAGAAATGGGCTTGATACAGAATTTACTTGTGAAATCCTCTGGCCTATAATAAGCAAGAGATCAGAACAGACAACAAAATCACTTCTGACTGGGAAATCTGGCAGCCACTGATCCATGTGTTCCCAGAGGAGTCTGGTACCTGAGTGAGCCAGTAACCACTGCACACAAAGTATTCCATCATCTGGAAGTTCCAAAACACTGTGATAATACTGTGAAAATAATAATGCAGAAATACAAGTTGCAACTTCACTGCTTCATCAGCCTAACAAACAGCAGCAGACTAAGCCATCAGCAATTATTTAAAGGTCAAAACAAGTAATCTCTAATAGATAAATATCCTCTGCTTTCACTTGTATCATGACTTGGAAATAACTAGGTTACTCTGTGGAGTTAAGACACTATTTGGTACATGCCCTGCATTCACCATCAGCAGCGTATGGCCAAAATGAGTGCAACACGGGGTTAAATCTAAGTTTAAAGAAACTGTTTGCATTTAAAGTTAAACTCCTCTGGCATGTGCAAGTACAATAACTGAGTAGTTTCAAAATCCCTTGTATTTGCAGAAAGGCCTATGATCCCTGGCAATTAAAAGGTGGGAAGAAAAAAAGGGAAAAGGATATGGAATCCTAAGGCTGAATCCTAAAAATGGCTATGATTTGTGTAACCTCTATAACAGAAAGAAACCGTCTTTTCTCCCCCTGTTCCAAAGTCCTGAAGGTAATTATGACTGAAAGAGCCTTCAACTATGTCACTTCAAGCTGGACATTATTACTCTTTACATGCCTTTTTTTAATGAAAGAGTTAAAATTAAACCTCAGTTGTACTACTGGAAAATTGACGATAATAATAACAACAAGAATAAGAATAAAAAAGAAGCAGCAGTTTATTCCTGAATAGAAAGCACAAGCCCCCCCATAGCCACGCATTTCCATTTGCATGTGTTCCATCGCACTTACTTCCTCCACACGGACCTTCCGCTGTCCTTCCAAAACACAAACGAAACAGCCAAACAGACAAGGAGCCAGGAGCAGAAGCCGCCAAACCCCGAGCGACCCACGTACCGTGCCTTCGGTTCGGCTACTGTCACAGGACCCTACTGCCATCAACCCCTCCTCCTCCTCCTCTTTCTCCTCCTCTTCTTCCCCCGGCGGTACCCACGGAGCAGAAGCGACACAAAGGAGCCGCGAGGTAGCGACAGCTCTCTGTAAGTCCTGGTGATAAAGGGAACACTACCCCAGTCAAGTCTAGATTAATAAAAAAAGGCAAATCAAACCAAAACTACAAAAAAATCCCCCAAGAAAATAAACACCACCACCCCACCCCACCCCCCCCAAGAAAAAGAAAAGAATTCAAATTTTTCTTGTCACAAAGTAGTTAAAACCTTAAAATAGCTGTTTCTTGATAGTCTGAGAGAAAAAGCTTTTCTGGGGGGCTACTGTACCTCTGCCCCTGTGGAGCTCATGTTGATGCCAATGAAAATGTCCAAGTTGCTGAGGCTCAGTTAAAACTGGATCTAAAATGACAGCTCTGAGTTCCAAAAATAGCAAGGAATAACCTACAGGAATCCTGAAGGCAAATATTTTTCTTTGCTTAACTATAGCTCTCCATTTCCCTGCCTTTCTCACTCAGCCTTGCTTGCTTTGTTCAGAAATAAAGGAATGTTGCGGGGCTGAGAGAGCATTTCATAAGACTGCTGTGTTTCCTTGATACAAGTGCACATTAAAGCACCAAGACATACTGAAATTTTACTAGAAGCCAAATCGCAAGGGAAGGAGAAATCACCTACTTTCTGGTTAGTGGGACAAAAACCCCCACCTATATTTGCACCCTCAGTGACACAGGTGCTCTCCCAGGTGGAAATGGAAACAGCACACAGGTGCCACCTGTGTATTTAAATGAAAGGGGAGAGCGCAGCCTGGTTGTTTGAGTCACTCAGTATAGCTTAGCAGGACGCAAATGAGGTAAATTGAGCAGAAATGTGGATGCTCACTGGAGTGGCAATATTAAAGACGTCACCTGCATCCCAGCCTTGCCAACAGACCTTAGTGACAGCTCCTGGCACGCACCTTTGGAGACCTTTTTGCAATGGCTGTATCGCCTCCTAGAGTAGAAGCTTAAATCTGCATCTAGAACTGTACACACATCAATCCTGTGTGCCTAAATGTGGTTTCTGACCACCTCTTTTTTTTTTTTTGTCTTTAAGCATCTGAATCTTGCAGTGATGCTTTTAAAGCACTTGTCTTCAACTTAACATTCTGTTTTGTGAGATACAAAATTAATGATCCTGGTTACCAGTGGATTGATGTCCTCTATCCCACAAACTTTCTTCCACAGCAGCAATGACAGCAAAGGCATATTCATTGTGGTATGCCTTCTGCATGAGAGATGTTAAATGTCACAGTCAGCACAGAGCTACCCCTCTGCTGTTTGCTTGGGAGCTGCCACCGGGCCAAAATGTTTGGGGGCTTGATTCAGAATGATTTTCTGCACTGGGGGACATGGATGGAGAGACTTCTGTCACCTTCCTGGAAGCAGATCTTCAGGGACTGTTCAGGGAATGTCATAACTGGCAAAAAAATCCAAACCCCAAAGCTCAAACCAAAAACAAACAAACAAACAAACTCAAAGCACTCCCCCCAGAAAAAAGAAAAAAAAAAAGGAAAGAAAAAATCACTCCCCCGAAACAAAAAAACCCCACCAAACCCCCCCCCCAAACAAACAAAAAAACCCACCAAAACCCAAACTTACAAGAACAAACACAGTAATCTATATCAAAAGTTGTCCTTTTGTCTCAGGAAAACTGAGTAGATTTAGTTGTGTCTCATTGCAGTTAGATTTGTGTATGACTGGGAGGGATTTAGTTTATATTCTGTGCATAGAGTTGCAACCAACCATATACACTCCAGAAGGCAGCACTGAGGAAAAATGAGGAAGGTCTGGAGTGCCCTCAGTCTCTGCAGTTCATTCCATGGACAAGACAGACTCCTGAGAGTATTTGTCCTCTGGAGGAACTTGTTTTACCCTTTGGATATCCTGGTCATGTGTCAGTTATCATTGGAAGATGAAGACCAAGAACTAGAGTTTCATCTGCAATGCTGCCAGAGGTGAGGATAGAGGACAGAGGGTGGTTTCGTTGTTCTTACTACAGTTTTGTTTTGTTTTGTGTTTTGCTGAAGCAGCACAAATCAGTATTCAGCTGGAGTTCCCTAACTGGAAACTTTTTTATTCAGGTATATGTCACTGCTCCAGTCTTGCCTTGCAAGGACTCAGGTTTGGGTATACAAGGTAAAACAGCTTCACAAGAATGGGATGGAACTTCTTGCCAGCAGGACACAATAGAAAAAAAAAAGATATGTTATTGGTAGAGTACAAGGCAAAGCAGTCTGGAAAGTAATGAAGAGAAGAAAAACTGAGATATGATCTTGTAAACACTTGCACATGGGGCTTTGTTTACTTCCACGTGTAGCTAATCCAGATGGCCATATGATTAAAGCTGCATCTGAGATTATGTATCACAGGCCAGTTTGGACAGGAAGACACTGTGCTAGGAGTTCTATGCTTGAAAAAATTAGATGATCTCTTCTGTATACTGTATATGATTTAAAGACACAAATAATGAGTCAGAGAAGTAGAACATATAAGCAACTAAGCCTGGTGGGTATTTGCTGTTAATAGTTACTGGTAGAAGACAGGACATTGTGTATGTGCCTTTTAATTGGCCAGAAATAGGAAATAAATTCATCTTGCATTCAAGCTGTTTTTACATTACAGGGATAGTGCATTATGGACTTTTGCACTCCTGCTAATACTCACCGTCAAAAGGGTAAATTGTCAGTTTTCACAAAGTTGCATAGTGCTCTGTAAGTATATATTCAGCAGGTACATATGCCTTCTCATTTTAATATATGCGTTATACTTTAACACATTTATTAGAGAGATGCACGTGCTGGGAGACTGCTGCATTTATTATATGCAAAAAGAAGAAAAAACTACTCAATTTACATATGATTCATCCTTTCTTGTTTTTTGGAAAATGAAGGTGGCAGACCACTAAGTCACACAGTCTTCCCACGTGTCAAAAGAAATGGAAAGTAATTATTTGATGATAAGTTCTAGACCCACTGAGGTTACTAAATTATTTGGGGTATAGGGTCACAAATTCACATTACTACTTTTAGGATTGATAATGGCAGGGAAACAGAAGATGATGCTGAAAGGCTTCTCTGTGTGATCTGCTGCTTAGAAGATGTGAACTCTTAGTGTTCTTATGTGAAGGTAGTAATTGAATGCCTTATTCCACTGGCAGGGCTGATGGCTTTGGAAGAGAGGGTGGCCTCCTGGATTTTTTACTTCAGTGTTTTGTATTGTCTGAGAAAATAAAAGAGAAGGGAATAATATCTCCACCAACCTGAACACAACTTAATTTTGCAATGAGAAACCTGCAGTGGCACCTACGGTACAAAATGGACTGTCACACCTTTTCTCCTCATCTAGTCCTTCAACAGTTCTCCTGTAAACAATTTATAGCATGGCTCCTTCTCTGAACTGTGCCATCAATGCTCCTTATTGATGTGTTTTCACCTCCTATCCCTGTGTCCAAACCATCTTCACCCTAGAGCCCAGGCCTGTTCCTTACACATGGGTTTACTTTTGCTACTTTTGTTGACAAGGAAAATAAGACTAAGGAATGCACAGTGCAGGGTTTTTTTGACTGCACACCAGAAGAAGGGTTGGAAGAAGCAGCCACCCCTTCTCTATATGTTATATGCTATTAGCACCCACAGCCACAACTAATGGAAAACCTTCATTTCACTGTTAAAGGCCACACCATAGACAAAAGCTATTATGGCAATAATATTACAAAATACAGGGGGAAGAATACCTGGCACTGGCTACAGAAGAAGATCTCCACAGTCTAAGAGAATAAGGAACAAGGGATTCATCATCTTCTAAAATGATTAAGAAGTTTGCTTTTACCTTCTATTTTTTTTCTTACCAAATCAGACCTTATTAAAAATAAAACAAAGGCAAGTCCACATGACCTCTGTCCTTCATATCTTTGAGGTAAAGCTGCTGTATTTTTGAAGAGCACTTGATCCTATGGTTGACAAGTGCTCTATGTAGTTCTCTTACTACAAAACCTCAGTAAGGAAAAACCTAGGCCTTCTGAAACCATCTCACATTACAGAAGAAAAGCAAGTGGTGCTTGCTTACAGAGGTCATTTGGACCTATTATTTAACAGTAACTTGTGGTACAGTTAGAAGTTTGGCTGTAGCATTAAGAACTGCAGAAAGTATAGATATTGTTGTCTCTAGAGCCCTGCTAATGGTGATGAAAAGCACCATGGATGGATGATTTGACTGAACTTATGTGAAGTTCTGTGCTATAAAAATGGCACAGGTCTCCCTCCTGGGAAATCTTGGATAGTTTCAGGCCCTGAGAGGATTCAAGCTGATAAAACTGGAAAAAAGTTTTCATTTCTTACTCCCCACTGCCCAGAAATTTTTCATCTTGCAGAATACATCAGCATCAGATTGTAAATTATCTGTCAAATGCTAAAAACACTGTAGGATGGGGCCCTAAAGGAACAGCCCATTTTCACCATAGGTGGCTTCTTAGTAAACCATTCTCCAAAACTTAAAGAGTCCATAATGAATTCTACTGTGCCAGCTGGGCATTGTGTCTGGATTCTTCCATCTGTGAAGAATTTTTAAATTCCCAGTGATGAGAGAAGACTGAATATCACCACAATAGGAAGAACAGAAGTGCAGCATGTAGGGATTAGTTTCCATGTCAGAGAATCTATTAAGCAGATCAAAAATACCAGCAACTTTCTCCAGTGCTTATTACAGACTATTTAACTTAATTGACTTTTCCTCAATCTGTTGTTCTCCTCCTCCTGAAAATATATTTAACTTAGGCATTCTGTCTACTTCACATCCCTGCATTGCCAACAATGCCAATGAAGTAACTGCAGTAATCCTTAAAATGGCACGTGACACGACATAGATGGATTTGTAGTTGTGTTGCAGACAGAACTGAAATGTGGTTCTTTTCTGACAAAACTTCCTGCAGTAGATAAAATAAAGTGCAACATATATTCACCTCACTAGAAGAAAAATAAATTATTCAGTGTTAAAGTGTTAGTAGCAGCTTTATCAAAAGTGTTGTGATTTTTCTATAGATATGACTGCTTCAGTCAGTGTGTGGTGTTTAATCAAGTGTCCTTTTAACTTAAATTCCCTCTTCTCCATTTCAAATGAGAACTCGGGATAGACTCCCAGACTTCTTCGAGGAAGCCTCTTAGAGACCTACAGCTTACATGTGCTAACCACCCTGAAACACTGGTGGACTGATCCTGGCTGGATGCTACAAGCCCACCAAAGCCTCTCTTTGAGCTCCCTCACCAGCTGGACAGGGGAGAGAACATACAACTAAAGGCTTGTGGGTTGAGATGAGGACATAGAGAGATCACTCACCAATTCCTGTCACAGGCAAAACAGACTTGACTTTAGTTTATTATCAATCAAATCAGAGTAGGGTAATGAGAAAAAAAAATCTGAAAAACACCTTCCTCCCACCCCTCCCTTGTTCCCAGGCTTAACTTTACTCCCAGTTTTCTCTCAGCAGTGCAGGGAGATAGAAAATGGGAGTTGTGGCTATTTTGTCACACATTGTCTCTGTTGCTCTTTCCTCCTCAGACTCTTCCCCTGCTCCAGTGTGGGGTCCCACCCATGAGAGACACTCCTCCACAAACTTCTTCAGAGTGAGTCCTTCCCACAGGCTGCAGCTCTTCACAAACTGTTCCAACATTGGTCCCTTTCCACAGGGTGCAGTCCTTGAGGAACAGGCTGCTCCAGCATGGGTCCCCCACAGGGTCACAGGTCCTGCCAGGAAACCTGCTCCAGCACAGGCTTCTCACAAGGTCACAGACTTCTTCAGGTGCATCCACCTGCTCTGGTGTGGGGTCCTCCAACAGGCTGCAGGTGGATGTGTCAGCTTCCATGGGCTGCAGGGGCACAGCTGCCTCACCAGGGGCTGCACCACAGGCTGCAGGGGAACCTCAGCTCCAGTGCCTGGAGCACCTCCTGCCCCTCCTGCTGACCAGGCGGTCTGCAGAGTTGTTCCTCTCACATGTTCCCACCCCTCTCTTTGGCTGCACTGTCGTTGTGCAGGTTTTTTTCCCTTCTTAAATATGTTATCCCAGAGGTGTCACTACCATTTCTGATGGGCTCAGTCTTGGCCAGCAGCAGGTCTGTCCTGGAGCTGGCTGGCATTAGCTCTGTTGGATATGAGGGAAGCTTGTCAGCTTCTGACAGAAACCACCCCTGCAGCCTCCCCAGATACCAAAACCTGGCCGCAGAAACCCAATACGAACACAGTTCACTTTATCTGTTGTTATGGAGCAGCATTTATTCTGTCAGTGCAAAGCCTGCCCAGGAGAGCAGCAAATGAGCTACCAGTGCAGCTGGACTGGGTGATTAATACAAAATAGAACACAAGTCACTCAAGTTTTTTGCACACTGACACTGTTATGTTCCAGAAAACACAAGGCCAGATAATGCATATTGGTTTTCCACACAGTGCACAGTACGTTTTGCACAGGCCTTTCAGATCCATACCAAAGCAGCTGCATTTTCTTCACTGGTTTTCATCATTTTTGCAACTCCAGTTTCTTAAGTTGATCCTCAAACTTTTTAATGTCCACTCGATGCTTCATTAGGAACTTCCCATTTAAATGAAAAACAGGTATGTCATATTTGTATTTGTCATTCCATCCTGAGTTCTCTGGAAGTGTAATATCTACCTCCTGCAAAATAAACTGTGATAGAAAAGAAATATGTCAATTCCTACTGGAAACTGAAAAATAATGCCTATTTATCTTTTGATCAATAGTTTTCTGATAAATGCAAGGCTGTTTTCTTAATGCTTTAGGATTTTCTCTTTCTGTTGTAGATAATTCCTCATTTTATGAGTACAAAATGTATATAAACACACAGGACTCTCTCCCTAGCTCAGGATTATATTCTTGTTCCTCTGTGTAGAACCACTTTCCTGTGAACACCAACCACAACAAATATGCAGCCAGCAACACAGCAGAGTGAAATAACTCTTAACAGTTTCATCCTTCAAGAGAGACATCAAAACCTGCTTGAAGAATGGCAAAAATTACAATCACATATAACTCAAATACTCAAAGCCCCACTTATTAACATCCTTCCCAAATTATACCATTACCGGCCTCATGAGAGTTGTAAATTCCTCTTTCAGGCAAGGCAACAGTATTTACAAAAGCAGTGGTTTCAAGAACTATTGCAAAAAGGTGTATATTTGTTTAGTTTGCCAATACTTATTTCAGCATTGTTGTCTCAAAATGCTTTTGGATAATGAGTTTTATGGAAATCAGTGCTGAAATTGTCTTGAAGAGGTCATCCATAAAAGAATAACAGGTGCAAATAAATCCAAGCAATTTTCTTTTACAAAGAAAGAATCCCAATTAACTGTTCTTTCTATATATAGAAAACTTATACAGCATTGCAATACGTTACCCTTCTCTTATATGGCTCAAGAACTTCTTTTGCTTCATCACATAGAGGGCATGGTTTCTAAAGGAAAATATTCAGAGCAGCTTAAAGCATATAGTAAAACACACAGGTCATTTGTACAGTAAAGTAACATACACAGACAGGAGTGATCATTACAAATACAGCTTTCCTCCCCAGTATCAACCACCTGAACCAGAGCTTCTTTAAACATGATCTGAAACACCTACTTCTAATTTCCTGCATGTGAATTACTTTGGATTAAATAGTCTATTTTTATTCACAACTAATCTTAACTGTCTTTCCCACACAGTCAAGTCCTTGTGCTCTGAAAACCTATGCAGGATACTAAAGATCAGCACTGCTGTGTTCTTAATAGTTCTCATTGGTTTTGGAGGGATTGGTATATCTGATATTAGTGACTGGAAGGAACATCCCAGAATCCTGCACATCAGTTCTGTAACATGCCAGGCTCCTTTCAGGAACTTCTAGGAAAGAATATGCTCTTACTCTCATGGCAAGCTTAGGCACTATATGGTACTGGTAAGATTGGAACCGGTTTAAAATCAATAGTGAACTATTTTAACAAACAGCAAAATCTGTTTAAAAAGTCGATTTATATTAGTGCATATTTTTATTAGAAGAATGCAACAGTCTCTGACATCACTTGCTTTATGTTGATTCGTAATTGGGCTTCCTGGATAAAGCTCTTTTGGACAACCTTCTCCATATTACAGTGTCAAAATGGACTTTTATTGCTCAGGTAGTAAAAATCCCTTCCCAAAGTAACATATGCTGGGCTGACAACTAGATCTGTTAGATAACACACAAAGCGGAAGGGACAGTTTTATTTCTGCAGATAATTGCCATTTATGCTGCATAGTTGGATTGCAGTTTTGTGGCCATTTTAAGCTGTCACTGCTGCTTTTGTGCTAGCTTAAGCACTGAAACAGCTGCACAATAAAGCAAAACAGGAGACTTGATCTGAACTAATAGCAACCTTGCAAAAAAAACAAAAAAAAGGTTTTGTTGAAGCAGTTGCTGCATGAATCCTTCTGTTGTCAAAAAAGGAGACTGCAAGGGGAAGACTATTTGGTAGTGCTAACTTTTATCAGTTTGAACAGGCAGCAGAAGACATAGGTCCCTTCTGCCTTCTCTTTTCTCTTTATTCTTAAAAACAGGAAGGAGTGAAAAAATGAGGTAATTAGCATAAACTAACAGTGCAAATGAGCTTTCTTTTTTTAAAGTAGTTTGCATTTTGCTTTGCAATTGCCAGTGTATCAGGGATGAAAAAATTTAAAAACACTTTCAACAAAAAGCCACTTTAGAGAACTGCTCAAAATCTGCTATTAGAAAATTTTATTTCACACAGTGTCTTACCAGTTAGAAATTTTAAGACACAAAGAGCTTTTTTCCCAAATATTAACCCACATAAAATCATTATTCCCTACCTTATCTCATTTGGATTATCAGTGAGTTGATGCTGAATCAGGCAGGAGGAGACAAAGGTGTTTAAAGTATAGTTTTATAGCATGCATTGCTCTGATTAAGAAATAGATGGTGACCTTTTATTTTTCAACATATTAATTTTTTACACAGTTTAAACACTCCTGTATGGCTAGTGATGGAATGAACAAACATTCAAAACACCCATACTGATGTGAACATTCTCCATGCTTTGCATTTCTAGTTATCCTACTCTTGAAGGAGAATCATGTCAATGTAGCATAACCTGCTGTGTGCCATCCTTTACAATAAAGTGCAGAACTCTGCGGATAACAACTGATAACAATTCATGGAAGGTGACAGTTCACAAATGACCATTCCTGCTCATCACATCTGTTTTCTAAATATTCTTAAAAATCGTGCCTGCTCATGACACAGACAAACCTTTGCCTGCATTGTATCTCTTGGTGTTACACTGCCAAAAAACCAAAAAGAGAGTAAAGCAAAATCTACCCTTTCTTCATGTGCTACCAGCACTTCCTGGATATATTTTACAGTCTCACAGGTAGTGCTGAAATTGAAGCCTGGCATACAGAAACCAGCAAAGCAAAATGCTCAATGCTACATAAATTTGAAGGGGACAAAAAGCAAGGACGAGCCATTTAACCTGGATTCAGGTATGTCAAAGCTGATAAATACACAGTCTTGCCTGGCTTTATTCTGTGAACAACTTTTACCTTGGTGAATAAAGTCAGCACAGGCTTCTTTGCACTGGTTGAGCAGAGTTGTCTCCCCAGTGGACTGGATGAATGTCTTGCTAGCTGCAGTGTTCTGCTCAGAAAACAAAGCACCATCATCCTGTTCAGGCAAAAATAAAATGCTTGTTTGTGGCAAGTGTTAGCTCATGAAATTTAATATTAAGACAAATGTGATACTTCAAGCACAGTTCTAAAATAACACAAAATCAAGCCATTTTCCCAGGATTTTTATGCTCACAGTATCACCCCATTCATCAGACAGATGGTTTACTATGCAGCAGGCCAAAAACACTGTGTAGCTCAAAAAGTGCAGTTCCATTAAACAAAACTCAAAAAACCAAAACACCTCTTGTGGAAATGCCTCTTCTAAATTCCCCAACACAAATGCATCATGCTGTTTCAACAGCACAGATGCCAGTTAGAATTACATAATTAAAAATGCAAAGTGCTATGCTTTGAACCTCTGTAATCTTGCTGCAGTGCCTGACATATTCTACTTACTCAAATTATTCCATCAAAAAACTAATCTGTACCTAATCAGAATATTAATATACTGCTTTCTGCAGTCAACAAAAAGCTGCAGCCAAGACAGTTTAAACTGGTAATATGAAAAGCATGCACAGTATTGCACCCTTCCTGCAACAGCAAATTAATTTATGGAAGTTATTAATGGGTTTATGATTTGAGAGTTTAAGTAAATTTAATGTTATTGAAGGGTGCCATGCTGGAGTCTTGAAGTCACCTGTTCATAAGAACACTAATAACAACAGTGCTTCCTGCAAACTTTTGTCTTAATGTTACCTTTACAAAGCACTTTAGGACTGAGGCAAAAAACAGAGAAGCAAAAGGGAGTCTGCATGCGGACTATCATCAGACATGATACCTGATACCAGAATTTACACTGGGAAAATCAAGTCACTTTTACACAAAGCAAAACTACTTCTGTTCAGGCACAACTTCCCTGTAGTTCTACTAAAGGCACCATGTAATGTCACAAGTTTAAACAGCTTAAGTGTGAGCAGGACTACATTGCAGCTGGTAAGCACATTTTAGGATGTACAGTAAAAAAGAGCCCAGTGGATTCACTGAATCTCTCAGTACTAATATTACAAAGCTTTGTTTTACAGAGGACAGTTTAGCCAGCATAACCATCAAGGAAGAACATTGCAGTGGACTCTCAACTTATCTGCCATAAATCTAAGCAACAACCACAAGAAAAATCAAATGGGTGACAGGACACTGCTCCACTAGTCTGCACAGCCAAAAGACACTAATTTGTCCAGAGGACTCTGGCAAGGGTAACTTGCCATGTTTCCAGAAGAAGATTCAACAGAGCAAATGCAAAAAAAGGCATTATGCTTTGAAAATTAGAACACAGCTTCAGATACTAGAAAAGAAAGAACAAGATTTTTTTTTTCTTTTTGGCCATGTATAAATAAAGTAATCTAAAACAGTATTCTGCAACATGTAGTATTTGGGTTTACTGTTTATTTTCAGACAGAAAAGGTTCTCTAGTACTAGAGTCAGAGCAACTTCCTGTCACTGCAAAGTGACTGGCAAGCACATACTGACAAAGGTCACAGTCCTTGTCAGCTACTGCATTTATTTTACACAGCCAGGTGGAAATCTGGAAACTGTTTGGGATTTTACATATTAAATACAGAAATAAGCTTGGAACCTTTTGGAAAAATGCAAACCTGGATGACAGTAAGAGCCTCAGTTGTACTTAGAAATTTTTAAGTCCATAACAGATGTCCAGAATGGATGAGGAACATTTGCAGCATGTTGGCCTGCTCACATGCAAGATAAAAATGCAAAAACAAATAGTCTGCTTTCTGAAAATTTTTTAATGGATGCTTTTGTTGCCAGCCTAGCAAGCCAAATTTTGTGCTTTCAAAACAAGGAAAGTGGTCTCAAATTGTTTTGTGGACAGCAGAATGAATAAACCCGAGATTTCCATGTATCACATTCTCCCTGACACACACATATGTGTATAAAATGGCTCTGGTTCAGTCCTATATTCCTCCTTTTTGATACCTCCATGCTCTGGTAAACTGGAGTCCAGGGGACAACTCCTACCAAAACATTAGCTAGAGGGGAACACATAAAACAGCATCAGTACGTAAGCTTCAAGATCTCATAGAAAGAAATCAGCTAGCAGTGCCTTACTTCCTTACCAATTTTATATAATTACAAGCAAACTACCTTTGGAATTCAGCAGCAAATCTTCATTGACCAGTACTACCAGTGAAGGAAGAATGTGCTGTTTCCAGGGTTAGCATAAGACTGGCTGAATGTTTTTATAAATAACCTAAGGAAAATAGAGTCCTGTTTGTCTGTTTATTCACCTAAATAGAATGATACCAAGGCCATAATGAAATGCCAGTTCCAAATGGCTTGAAGGACTAATCCTGATTCGTAAAATTGACGCATCTTCATCCAGGCCCCAGCCATGCTCTGATCTTCCACCAGCATAAAGCACCCTGAAACAGCTCACCTTGAGGGAAGGTGAGACACTGTCGGATGGCTTCATGTTCCCCACAGTGCAGATAATGCAGCCTGACTTCCCTGGCAGCATCGTTAGGGCGGCAAGGAGTCAGATCTGCCACATTTAACCTGGACTAAAGTTCTACCCCCATAGAAATTTTTTTCAGCAGAATTTACTAATCTTATTTTACTGAATTTAGCTAAAATGTCATGGATAAAGCCAACTATCAGTGGTTTTGCACAAACACTGACAGGTTTTAATATTGTGAATGGTTTAACCCTATACTTGTGGCATTGCTATTGGTCAGGAGCTGGTAAAAGCAAATCTCCACTCATTCATCAGGCAAACCTACTGCACGAAATCTGCCACATGATTATTCTGGATCTCTCTTTAGACTCCCTCCACGTGACTATAAAGACCTGTTTGCAGAAAAAAAAAAATCAAAGAAGTATGCTTCCAAATTTGAGAACTTACCTTCCCCTATACCACAATGATACAGAATGATTTAATAAATGATGGAGTCTGGACTTGGCCCATGCTCTACTTTGCAAAGCCAAATTGGACTCATTTCCTGTTAACAGAATTTCCATGAACCAATAAATCCTCATCTGTTGGAAAAATAAAATGTGACATTAAAGCTAGCCATTATTTAGATGAAATAATTATCTGTGTAAACTTTATCTTAGCATCAATCAAGGAAAGACAAGCATGGGTGATTTTTTTCTCCAAGTATGTACCTTTTAATAATATGAGGAAGGACTTAGAACTGAAAGAGAATGGGGAAAGCAAGTGGGGGCAAATATCAGAATGCATGCTGATGGCCTGCGCCAGTGGTGGTTTAAAATACCTGTCTCCTGTCATCTCTCACTCAAAACCAGCTATGGCCATCAAGGAAAACAAACTTCCTGGCAGCCTGCTTTTGATTACCTACCAGCGAAACAAGAAAATGCTGAACAAGAAAATAAGGTGCTACAACAACAGACCGAGAAGCACATGTGGATGGAGACACCAAATCCTGCAGCTCTGGAGATCCTCACAAGGCTTTTACCCCAGTAATCTTTCAGAGGAGGCCTGCAAAATACAAAAAGATCTTTTTGCACATGCCTATAACTCTAAAGGTCTCTCAGGGAGAATCAGGTTCTTACATCAACTCAAAATTCAAAATCATCAGTAATACCACTTGTTCCTGTGAAGTGGTGTTATATAGCCGGCAGTGCATGTTTCCATGCATTCTTTCCTCCAAAGTACAGTAGCCTGGGGTAAATGCCACAAGCACATTGCATTCCACCCCAGAAAGGATAAACATGTCATTCCATTCCAAGGTGCAGCACATTTTGTTCAGTGATCCCTCTAGTGGTATCCATCACAGACTCTGGTTCAAGGACATACTCCCAGTTTCAAACAAGTTAATAACATCCAGTAGGTTGCTGTAATGGCCTTTTCTGAAGACTAGACAGAACTTGCATAAAGAACAAACTGCTATCATAACGTAAAGTTATAATAGAGTTTCAAAGACAATAGTAGGAATAGTATAATGCATATAATATATAAATCACATGTTTTATATTATATACAACTATTTAATATAGTATATAACTATGTACTATTTCAACACACTATATTATGTATTATATTACATCATATGAATAACATTTTTATTGTCTTAATATATATTAATAGCATCAATAGAACAATTACGATGCTATCAATACATTATTAGTACATTGTAGCATATCTATTAAAGCTATTGTATTAATTATATTAATATTAGATAACATTTTACATTACTATATTATAATACATAATACAGGATAATATTCTGCGTAACATATAAAATACATATTATATATTGCATACAATAATGTATATGATATACTACATACAGGTGGCCAAGAAGGCCAATGGGATCTTGTCCTGTATCAAAAATAGCGTGGCCAGCAGGAGCAGGGAAGTGATCCTTCCCCTGTACTCTGCGTTGGCGAGGCCACACCTTGAGTATTGTGTTCAGTTCTGGGCCCCTCAGTTCAGAAAGGATATTGAGGTGCTGGAGCGGGTCCAGAGAAGAGCAACAAGGCTGGTGAAGGGGCTGGAGCATAAGTCCTATGGGGAGAGGCTGAGGGAGCTGGGGTTGTTTAGCCTGGAGAAGAGGAGGCTCAGAGGTGACCTCATCACCGTCTATAACTACCTGGAGGGAAGTTCTAGCCAGGTGGGGGTTGGTCTCTTCTCTCAGGCACTCAGCAATAGGACAAGGGGGCACGGGCTTAAGCTCCGCCAGGGGAGATTTAAGTTGGATATCAGGAGAAAATTCTTTACAGAAAGAGTGATTAGGCATTGGAATGGGCTGCCCAGGGAGGTGGTGGATTCACCATCCCTGGAGATTTTTAAACGCAGATTGGACGTGGCACCGAGTGCCATGATCTAGTAAATGGACTGGATTTGGACCAAGGGTTGGACTCGATGATCTCGGAGGTCTTTTCCAACCCAATCGATTCTATGATTCTATGATTCTATGATATAAGGTAATACATATAATATGTAATTATACTATACCTATTATACTATGATATAAAGTATATATTACTATATACTATATACACTATAATATAAAGTATCTATTACTATATACTATGTATACTATAATATATACCATTACTATAGCCTTTAATACTATACATTATGTATTTAGTGTATATATTTGGTACATATAACATATATAGTATATCTCATATATACAGTAAATTAATAATAATAACAACAACGATAATAATTTTTCAACATCTCTATTTGGAAAGTTTCCAGCTAAATGATCCAAGTACCGGGGTCGAGCCCAGGCCGGCACAGAGTGTATCCAGAAGCCTCCCCATCACCTCCCGTAATGACAACCCCTGGCTGCTGATGCTGATACTTCCAAACGAGCAAATACCCCCGGCAGAGAGAAGGATCCAGAGCCCATCAGCACAGAGAAGTCCTCCCGGGGAAACCTCATCCCGGGGAATCGCGTCCCGGGACCGCCGTCGGGACTTGGGGGTTCCCGGCGAACGCTGCCGGGGCCTGGGCTCAGCCCCTGCCCGGGCTGGACTCACCCACCTCCTGCCCGCGGAGCTCCGCCGGAACGCCCGGGCGGCGGGCGGGGGCCCGCGGGGAAGCACCGGGTGTGACGTTGCACCCTGGAAGGGAAGGAAGTACACAACGATTCCTGAATGGTCTTGGTGGAAAGGAGCGGGGAAAGTCCGGGCAAAAAAAAAAAAAAAAT